TGTTTAAGGGCTGCGAAGTCTTTGATGCTCAGGAGCAATGCTGAGTAAGCAAAGCATATACAAGTTTTTTTTTTTTTAAGAGAAAAAAAGGAATGCCAAGTGGCTGGATTTGCTTTCAAAGTCGGAAGCTGAATCATTGAAGGAACCGAGCTGGCTAGTTATGTGGCGGTGCCCGACCAGCTGCATAATAAATTGATGGAGTGAGATTTTGCATGCCCAGTTATTCCAAGCTGGGTCGGTGAGGAAGCCTAATTCAAGGAACAATTTATGGAATGGAGAAGGAAACGCGAGCATTAACGACTAACCAGCTTCACCTAAATCCGCGGGTACCCATTGTATATAGCTTCTAGAAACCATTGGTCAATTATTTACTTCTTCTTAAATCTAGCTTGACTCACTGAGTTGATAAAAAAAAATTATTGTCGATTTAAATTCATCCAACGATTCATAATCGAATAATCCAATGATCCAGATTCTTCATCAGCCCCTTCCCACAACTAAATCTTCAACAAGTCTAATGTGTCAGCAACAGATAGTCTTTTCGGAACGCTTAGTGCCACTGCTTACATGTTCGGAAACAACACCACGCGCAGGTAAGAGAAAACAAAGGGAAATGAAACGCTGCTCCTTCTTCTTCTTATTTCTGGAACAGAAATAGATTGTTGGTTCTGTTCTTCGATGAGAGATGTGCCCATGGTATTGAGCATGGAACTAAGCCGATGGATTAGCTGGCTGAACCATGTGTGGTCGTTAGGTAAAAGGAGATTAAGACAGCAGACCGATTTTCCTGCGTGGGTAATATGTCAAAGTTTAGCATCTTTATAGCGCTTCCGTTGATTAGGAAAGTTCTTGAATAGAAAAAATGGAGTGGTTGAAAAAGAAAAGACATGTCTAATACAGAAACTTATTTGAAAACTGTTTAAAAAATAAATTATTTTATTTTATTTTTATTCTTCTAGCTAGACATGTTTTTATTTGTTATCTCAAAATAATAATTTAAAACTAATAAAAACACTAATTATCGGTACATGTTTTCAAGCTTACTACTGTCTTATAATATGTTTTATTAAGCGTCTTTGTATTTCTTCAATATTTTACTTTTTTTTTCATAATAGTAGATAAATTGGTAATTTATACAATATTTTTCAAATGAAATTGTTGTCTAGTGTTTAGTTTATATATATATTAATTCAGCAAGAATAAAAACAAAAGAAACTGAGATTTCTTCATGTTTATATAACAATATGACCATCGTATCTATTAATTTTACACAGTTAATTTAATTTAAATGATCATGATTTAGTTTATGATAAATATAGAAATAATTCAATTCCTTATTATTTTATTTCCTAAATTAATCTAAATCATTGAATCAAAATCAATAATAAAGCCTGAAACATGATTGGTTATATTTTCTTCAAAACATGAATACGAGGGATTCATTTCCACCCTCCACCACCTAAAAATATCAGCGAGGCTTGTAAATTGTAATCATGTAGAGTGCAATGGGCTTCCACCTTAATCCAACAACGTTCCTCAACTTGCATGGGTAGGCTCATGTGAATTGGGGGTGGAGGCAAGTGTTTGCATTTTCCTTCGATCAAGCCCATGTTTGTTTTCAAGCTGAGCTTCCCTTTGGGCCTTGTACAAAATAATGAGAGGTCATCGGAGGATAAGGAAGGACGAAACCTTTACTCTACAACGTGTCACTTTCTCCACCTCAAAGTCGTCGGAGAGATTACAAGGTTCTGAAACTTGCAAGTCATGTGAGCACATAAAGACCTAGCCATTCCTCTATCTCACTTCATGTCTTAGTAGAAAACAAGACATGAAGAGATTGATGCTCAAGCTGGGAATACTTTGTATGTCCATGATGTTCTACGCTTGTCAAGCAACCAGCAATCTCCACCCCGTGATCTTAGTACCAGGAAATGGTGGAAACCAACTAGAAGCCAGACTAACCCGTGGCTACAAGCCCTCGAGCCTGTTCTGCCATTGGTACCCAATCTTGAAGCAAAAGGGAGGTTGGTTCAGGCTATGGTTTGATCCCGGGGTCCTGTTAGCACCATTCACTCAATGTTTTGCTGATCGTATGATGCTCTTCTATGATAAAGATACTGATGATTACCGTAATGCTCCTGGGGTTGAAACCAGAGTGCTACATTTTGGCTCCACTCAGTCCCTTCTCTACCTCGACCCCAGTCTCAAGTAAGCCTCTTGTGTTATATATTTATTTTGGTGAAACTGGCATATATCGTCTACTTACATTAATATTCAAGGTTTAATTTCTATAATCAATTGTAAAAAATAAAAAAAGTTTATTTAATTGAGTGTGAAATGATATATTTAATTAATTGGCTGCTGCCTTTAATCTTAATTTCAATCTTAACAACCAATACAATATATCTCTGCAACATGGATTGCAGGCGAGCCACGGCATACATGGCTCCACTAGTGGAATCTTTAGAAGAAATTGGATATGTTAGTGGTGAAACTCTATTTGGAGCCCCATATGATTTTCGGTATGGCTTGGCTGCAGAAGGGCACCCATCAAAGGTTGGTTCCAAGTTTTTGCTGGACTTGAAAGATCTCGTAGAAAAAGCAAGCAGAAACAATGGAGGGAAGCCAGTAATTATTGTCTCCCACAGTTTAGGAGGTCTCTTTGTGCTCCAGCTTCTCAACAAGAACCCAATATCTTGGCGTAAAAAATATATCAAACACTTTGTTGCACTTTCTACTCCATGGGGTGGTACAGTGGTGCAGATGGTTACTTTTGCTTCGGGGTATACACTAGGAGTGCCCTTTGTTGATCCATTGCTTGTAAGAGAAGAGCAAAGGACTTCAGAAAGCAACTCATGGCTTTTGCCTAATGCAAAAATATTTGGTGAAAGAAAACTTGTTATCACGCCAAATGCTACTTATTCAGCCCATGAAATCACTCGATTTCTTAGTGACATTGGATTTTCCAGAGGTGTTTATCCTTATACAACCCGGATTTTGCCTTTAATGGAGCAATTGATTGCCCCAGAGGTTCCTATCACATGTATAATCGGCAGTGACGTTAGGACACCGGAGACCTTATTCTACGGGGAAAATGGTTTTGATGAGCAGCCGGATGTTGTTTATGGGGATGGAGATGGCACGGTAAACATGGCAAGCCTACTGGCACTTGAGAAATTGTGGTCTGAGGAGAAACATCAACCCCTCAAGGTAATTAGAATTGGTGGGATTTCTCACACATCAATTCTCCAAAATGATTCGGCACTTGCTGAAATAACAGGAGAAATTTATAGTATTAATTCTCATGTTATCAGCTCAGTCTTGTAGGAGTTTTGTTATCATGGATAGATGGAGATTTATTACATGGATGAGTTTCCAGCAAGATGGGAAAACTTGACGTGTTGAGAGTGTAGCTCTTAAGATTTGTTAATTTTTTAGGTTTATTTTAAAGAAAAAACACAAACATAGAATAGAGTCCTTTTAAATTTAAAAGACGAGAATGGAAAGGAAAGAGAATATGAAATTTTTGACCTAATAAAAATAATAATAATATTTTTATGTATGATTTATCTTTTCTAGTTACATGTCTTTATTTTTTTAAAGGTAAAATCTAAAAAATAACTAATAAAATGCTATTAATTATTTTTTAAATAGTGTAAAATTACCTGTACTGAATCCCCTGATATAATCTGAGTTGATTAGTTTGGTCACCATGTTCAGTGTTACTTTCTTCCATGTAGAATGTAACTGCGGTAAATACAGGGCATTTCACTGATGACTATGATAATTATTTTAATAAAATAACATAGTTATTAAATTTAGTTTTTTTTGTTGATTCAAGAAACTCAAAATTTAAAATACAATCTACATTGGATATTTAGTTAAATTATATA